ACTTAAAGCATGAAGGGTGACAGCCAAGTGGTCATGTGCCCATGACCAGTGTAACCATGTTAATTTCCAGTTTTTAAGATGAAAAGTGCAATTCATTAAAACCCCAAACCAAAACCAAACTAAACAGACAAGCAAAAGACGAGGGTCTCTATCATCCAGTTTATGGATGCAAAACCTTCCTGAGTTACTGGACTTGGCCATTCTCATGAAGGGATTTTAAAAGGAGGCAGAAGGTTTTTTTTTTTCAGAGTCTGCACCTCGTTAAGCTTTCTCTCTCATAATGCAGGGTGAACTCCAAGCAACATACATTTTTTTTCATTGATTAATTAAGTGAGTGGGTACCAGGTCCTGCATTGGCTTAAAAAGAGTACAGAATGAATTAAGATAAAGTCTTTATTTTCAAGGATTTCATGACAGAAACATAAAAGACTATAAAATTATATGTATGTAACATAATATTATGTATAATATATAGTGTATGTTATATATTTGTTATATGATTATAATATTATATGCATTAATATAATAGAAAATGAGTTATGGAAAGACAAAAGTGGAATAAAATGATTTAACCTAGAGTTGTTCACAGAGGAGGTGACAATTGAGTCTTGAAAGATAGTCACTCAGTAGAAAGACATGTGTGAATGAACAAGACATTGACTAGGATTATCACTTACAGGAGAGAGGATTTTAGATTTGTACCATCAATTAAGGTAGCAGGTACCACATTTGGCTATTTAAATTTAAATTTATTTAAAGGAATTTGGAATTTAGTTCCTTAGTAGCCCATCACATTTCAGGCATTCAATAGCCACATTTGGCCAGTAGCTACTGTGCAGGGTAGGGTAGGTATCAAATATATCCATGATAGTGGAAAGTTCCACTGGGCAATGCTAATGTGGAAGTCAGGCCGGAAGTCAGGATGGAGTTACAGATTGGGCATACTCAACATGAGAGAGCCTGGGACCTGGGATGTGGGACCCCTTACTGGAGTGCTTGCGTTTGCATCTGGACAAACGTCTTCTAGAGCAACAAAATGCAAAGAAACTACAACGGGCTAAAAATAACTGCACAGCTGGGGCAGTTATGCACAATAAGACATGGAAAGGCCACAAACTAACTGCCATTTTTGAGGTGCTGAGAGCAAAAGCACGGGACTGTGCATGATCCCTGCACACAGCACCACTATGGGGGTGGGCAGACCACCTAAGCCACCCTTCAGGTTCGACCCACCCATCTGCCCCTACTTTAACCCCCATTTAAGGAACCAGCTTGTCCCCCATCTCAATGAGTGAGCAAGGGAACCCGTTACTTGTTTTTGCTCCGTCATGCTTCAGCATGAGTCCCAGCAAGGCTCCTAGAAGTTCAGCAAGGAGAGTGAAGTCCACAGCTGTTACAAATGCCTGGCATTGTAGCTAAGCTCATGAAAACTGAAACTTGACCTTGAGACCTAAAACATAGAAGGTCTTCCATCAGTGCTATTGGTGACTGTTGGTTAAGTGGAGGGGTGTGTGTTTGAGATTTGGAGTCGATGTGCATAGAACATAGGTTGAAGTATGTAGTGGGCTGAATGGTGGTTGCAAAGATATGTCCACATGCAACCCTCAGAAGTTCAAAAAGATGAGGAATGGATTCTGCCATAGAACCTGCAGAAGGAATATGGTCCTGCTGATTTCTGACTTCTGAACTTGAAGAGAATCAGTTTCTGTTATTTGAACCAGGCTGTTGGTGTTAATTTGTTACGGCTGTTGCAGGAAACAAATGCAAAGGGCATTCATGAGCAAAGGGTGTAAAGACTGGGAATAGAAAATTCTGACCAATGATTCCAAACTCAGATGTTCTCAAGGGGTAGGGAGGTAAAGTAAATGGTTGAAATGAAAGTGAAAGTGTTTTAAAAAAAAAAAAAGGTAAATTTGAGATCATATATCTGGCCTACCAAATCTGCACACAGGTTGTCTTTCCCATGCCTCCTGCCCCTCCCCATGCTTACCCATTGTTTTAACAATTCTTCTGTAAGGATGTTGGGATGGAGGCAGAGGTTATGCCAGCCTCTGTCGCTGTGTCTTCATGACCAACATTCCTGCCCCTCAGGATACTCTGGTTACCTCTGTCTCCCACCAAGTGAAGTAAGTGGTCCATATACTTTAGACACTTGGACTCATGAAAGTTCAAAACATAAAAGGTAAAACTGTTTTTATTATTATTTCCTTATTAGGTTTATTATTAACACCATAGTCCCTAATGTCTGGCAGAGACCTGAAAGTCTTTGACTTGATAAATCAAGATGAGATGATGTGTAGTTCGTTACGTTTATTTTTTGATTCTCCACTTTTTGTTTCTAAGTGCTTAGCACTCTCGTGATTTCCTTTTAGTTGACCACTGGTTTAAGGAAGTCACTCTTATATAATCTAATGAAGAGCAGTAAAGTAAAATGAGATGACGATACATTTCTTAACTTTCAATATATTTGATGTGAAGATTGGCCTGATAGAATTATCTTTTGGCGCACAGGTGTCTGCCTCAGAATGCTACTCTGCTTAGGCTTAAACATTTGTGTGCAAAGTATAAAGCCATACAAGAGAACCCTCTTCTGTACTGTGTGTTGATGTGTGTGTGTGTGTGTGTGTGTGTGTGTGTGTGTGTGTGTACATGCAAAGAATGGCAGTTTGTCACTGCAGAATACTTTGCATTTAACAAGACTTGACAAGTAACCTTGACCGGACAGGGTGAAGGCATGTAGCTGCCGCAGAATCTGCGTCTTCCTGATTCTATACTCAGTGAGGGGCCAGACAGGAACTCCCAATTCTTATGTTCTTATGCAGTGTTTAATTGTACAGATTTCATAAAAAATCGCTTAATATAACGAAAACAAATACTCGTCTTTATTACCACACTAAATACTTCTGCTGGCAAATGCATTTGAGGGTGCTTTTTATTTATGGATTTTTCACAATGCCGGAGAGCTTTTGTCTTTTTTAGTGCTTTGTATTTATAGCTGTGGGATGATCATTTTCTGGTTGGTTTCACATCAAGCTCTTTCAGAACTAGTTGTAGTAGTAATAGTTTCATACTGTTTATACTTTCTCCCCCTGAGTCCTACGTTAAATCTTTTTCACTCTATCAGTGACACTGCAGTATATTATACTATACATTCTTAGGCTATTAACTCTGGGCACTGCTAATGACTTCTTTTATATATATATATACAGCACATAAAACATGTAAATGTTTCTTATTAAAGCAAGAAAACGCAAAACACAATCAATCCTATCAGCAAGGGAAAAAAGAAAAGAGAGCTGGAGTTTTTTTTTTTTTTCTTCCAAGTGAGATTGCAAGAGAGAAAGAGGTTTCTAAAAATCCCAGTATTGGGACACAAAGTAAATTATAAAAGAACCCTAAAGGGAGTGATTTTGTTTTCTTAAAAAACAGCTTGTTTGGTATTCCATTCCTACACTTTTTCTTAAAGTAACACATTTGAAAAAATCAACAAGAGCAACATAGCAGTTTCCTTGACTAGAAGAAAATGAGTCTTTGTGGGAAGGCAGGAAAGAAGCCAAGGAGGGAATCCTAGTGCCACCTTGACCTTGACATCACTGTGCTCAGATACTTCCGAAGGAGCTCTGAGGAGTAGCTCTCCTTGATGTTCTAGCATCTGAAAGCCTGTGAGGATTTAACCTGGAGGCACTATCTGCAAAGTAGCTGGAAAACAAACGCTCTTGTGGGTGAAGTTTAACAACAAAAGATTTAAGGGAGCAGGGTGATTCAGAAATGCCCCCCCCCAACGAAGCAGTGAAACTGTTTAGAGCAAAAGCAGCCAGTATTTGCATCTTCACAGTGAGGGTGGCCTAATCCTGAAAAGTCTTTGGAAGCCACTGGCCTCCTGGCTTACTTCACATTTTGGCTTCCTTTGCATTCCAGCTTTTTGATCAAACAGGATGATTCAGAAAACACCTTTCATGGAAGCTTAAACACCTATCCTGGCTCTTTTCAGGCCAAGTAGTCAACGGCTGTAGAAATGGGGTAAGGATGGGGGGGAGGGACGCCAGAGTTGAACAGAGGGATAAGATGAGAAATCACGTGTAAAGAGAATCCGATAGAAGAGAAATAATTGGCAGAAAATGTCAGGAAAAAGAAAAGAAAGCTAGAATGGCAAGGGAAGTCAGATTTTTGCTAATGCCTAATCCATGCCTAGAAGTACAGAGATGGAGGTATGGTGCGTAGAAAAATAAGCATAGTGCATTTTCTTTTTTTCCTTTTTTTTTATTGTACAGTCAATTACAGCATGTCAATTTCTGGTGTACAGCACAATATCTCACAGTGCATTTTCTTAATGCACTAAGAGGGATTGAAGAAACGTTTACAAAATATTTGTTGAGGTTGCCCCAGCAGCATACTGACATCTGCATCTGGCTAGGTCCTTCCCTGCCCAGATTTACTCCCCATGGGGCAACTGAAAGAGGAGGCACTGTAACAGGCTAGTTTTCTGTCTTTACAGATGTTTCTCTGCTTCCAGAAAGTGATGTCCTAGAGGAGGGAGGTCAGCAGACAGGAAGTGAGGCCAGTGTCAGGTTTCCATGCCAGGAGCAGGAACTCTGGGTACATTGGAGGTTACCACTGGTCAGACCCCAGTACAGCTCGCTGAAACCGTCAGAAAGGCCAGCCCCAGAGCCATCTCATTAGCTCTCCATGGGGATGTTGATACCATGAACCCCTTCGGGTGGGAAGGGGCTGGAGAGAAACAGAGATGAAAGCCAAAAAAAAAAAAGCATTAATGTTAAATAATTTTTTCCTACTTAAAATTTTTGCTTATCATTTATTATTCAGAGTTGTCTTCTTTAATTTTCCAAGCTAAGGATCTGTTGTACTGGCAGAGATACAGTTCCCAGAATAAAACTGGGCACTTTCTTAAAGGCTACACTTTCAAGGTTAATGCTATGGTGTATACCTTGGCCTTCTTGGGCATTCAACGGAGAGCTAATCAGAGGATCTCTTGTCTCTAGGAAACCGAGAAGGGAAACAATCAGCTCTGTTCTCTCTGAGCTGGGGGAGTGAGCTGTAATAACGGAGCACAAGAACACACTGGGAGCCAGCAAGCCCGAACACACAGGTTAGCACCGCCTGGCTGACCTAACTCGCAGGTGCGCCGTTGCCAGGTAACGCGGGGCCTCAGGGTCCTTTCTGAAGGCCTGCAGTTGGGCTTGGAGAGGTCCGGGCACGGCCTGGGGCGGTTGTTGGGGGCAGGGCGGATGGAGTCACTCTCGGGGCAGCTGGCAGTGCGACTGCTCCTCACCTATGTGGCAAGTGGAAACAAGCCGGGTTTGGCCCTGAATGGTCGTTCTTGCTCAGCCGCCCGTGGTGTGAAAGGGTTCTGATTAGCCGTGGCCGTGCGGGAGGAAGGAGAGGAAGGCCACGCTGTGTGTTACCGAAGGTGCGCCCTTACGGACAGCGGACGCGTCCATATGCCCTTTATACAGTTCCGTTCTACAGTTCCTCTCAATCTTGGACAAGTTTACAGAGCACATTTTCACATTTGTGCAGAGTAAAATGATTTTTGGAAAGAGCCACTGACTGGTTGAGAACACCCGGATTCTAGTCCCAAATTTGCAACTTTCTGCAACTCCAGTGTAAGCTGGAAGTCACTCCGTCATTTGAGATCACAGTGTGTTTGCTCAGATTTCTGCGTGTTGTGGAAAGCTCAGCATTTCCCTCAGTCTCTTTAGGAATTCTTGAAGATTCAGTTTTCTTTACATTCTATGACCCCTGCTTTCTTTTTGCACAGATTTAATCCAGATCTTGAGTCCCATGGTCCCTTGCATTGGGTCTGCATGTAGAGCCTGCCATTTCTTCAATCATGTATTTGGCAAATTCCTAAATCTGAAACACCTTGTTCCCAAATAATGCCCGATACATAAGCACCTGCTTTGTCCTCAGCTAATGTTGCTTTGTCTTTTAGTGGGTAATAGGAGCTACTGAGCATTTGTGTCCTCCTAGAGATCTGAGTTTCATTCCACTTAAGCAAGAAAAGCTCTAAGTGAATGGATGGGTGCCGCATGACTTTGTAATGCAGAACAGGTGGTGGTCCTGGCCTGGGGGTCATTTACAAAGACCAGCCCGATGTCTAAGAGCAAAATCCCTTTTAATTTCAGAGTCTGCATTCGTGGCTTAGTTAGGTTCAGAGAAGGGTGACTATTGGGAATCACCTGGCATCTCTGATCTGTGGCTTGTCTTTACAGCTGTGTCTTTCCCAAGCACAGAGTCTTAGTTTTTCACCTTGGATACCCATCTGCCCCTGAATCTGTTTAGTGTGAAGAAAAGATGAGTTCTGTAACAATGCTGTAGGAAAACCGAGAGCTTGAGGTTGAAGCAGAGGCAGCCAAGCTGCTTTGTCACCACCTGGAACCAGGCAGGCACACGCGGAGATGGTGAAGGCCAACCTTCCTACCCAAGGGCTATCATTCTCCTTTATACGTTTGAGTCATGGTGAGAAGAGAAAGATTTATAGGCATTCTTTCAACACTTACTCAACAAATGTTTATTGAACACCTACCCTGTTCTGAGCGCTGCAGTGTATTCAGAAATCAGGGCTGTGAACAAGTCTTCCCTCCTCACTGGTCTCCAACACTGTGCTTTTTAGCTGACCCTAGATCACATCCTCAGGATCAGTCTGTGTATTGATTGAATGCTTACATGTGTAAAGGCTCTTCCAGGACTGACATTGTCAATATTTGCCAAGTCTAAGACTTAGAAAGTTGGAGGAAGCTTATTTTCTGTAGCTGTGTACTTTCAGGTGCCTTAAAGTGCAGCTCAAGTTGAGTTTATGTTAAAAAAAAAAAAAAGCCGAGACAAACAAACCATCACAGACAGTGCTGAAGACTGGGAGAAGATGATACAAAACCCTTCTAAAAAACCAAGCCAACCTGCTGCCCTGGATTCTGATATTATAGGATCTCAGCATCAAATGTATATTTGAAAATGTATCTTTTTCATATTTGTATAATGATGCTAATAGTTCAGTACATGACATTTGTCCTGTTTCATCACAGATTTCAGGGTCTCGAATATGGTGTAGAGACGTCTAGTTCATTAAGGAGATGCCATCTTTGGCAGGTGAAAATGTGGCCTGTGGTAGTAATCATCAGCCATGAGGTTTTATCTCAAATGTGTGAATAAGGAAAACGCAACCTTTGTAAAGCCCTTGGCAGCCAGCCACCCAGAGGTTCATACAGTGCCGAAGACGGGGGCTTGGGAGGAGAGCTGCTCTTTCTGAATATGTCTGCTCTCTTTAGGGAAAGACTATCTCACCGAAATGAGAACACGTGGCTTCTAGTGCAGCTCACAGAGTCCAGGGGGCTCCCAGAGAGAATTTTGCCAAGCTGACTGTAGAGCGGTGTTGTTCACTTTTTCACAGTTCAAAACTCCTGTGATGCCTTCTCATTCTGTCTTCTGGAGAAGCCAAGCCAGCCAAATACATGTTGACCAGCTGTAGATTCTCTGTTACAAAGGCTCTAAGTATATAAAGCACACTTCACCAAACTGCTTACAACTCCCCATGTCAACCTTCTGGAAATACTAATACAGTTTCCTTAACTTGGGGAGCCATTGTCTAGCTGCCTTGGACAGTTCCAAGTTACTCTTGTTGTCTTGGCAAAAATATTAGTAGCATGTGTCTTTTTCACTCTCATATGTGTCCCAGTTTGAATGATAAAAGATGTCACCTTATTTTTAACATGGCTCTTAAATCTCCCACTAATTGAGAATAAGTCCTCTGGGGCCAATTCCAGCTTTGTCTCTGTATGCCAATATGAACTTGGCTGAGCATCCGGTTTCCCCAGGGTTGAATATGCTCATTGAAATAATGGTGTTTTGTGGACAAATATTATCTACTTCCTCCCTAGGACTAACACTCACATCCAGTGTTAGTCATGTCAGTCAAATTATTTCGATGTGTTTCTCTCAAAGTAAGGTGGGATAGCTGGATGCTGGAGGAGCCTTGATGCTATTCTAAGTTTGGGTTTCCTGCTGGGCAAAGGAGAGTGACAGGGTTTGTCCATAAGTGAATGATGTGCCAAGTATTTGATTCAGAAAAGCATATTGTAATAATTCAGGTGAGAAGAACTGGGAACATTAGCAAGGACTTTGGAGAGTTATATCTATATGTCTGGAAAGTCTCAACATGAACATCTCCTTGAGTTCGGTGGGAGAGAATAACTTCTGTTCCGAATGAGTTTCAATCAGGTTCCTACCTCCTCAGCTCCAGTCGCCATTGGTATAGCATTTCCTTGCCTCTCATCTTTCAGTACAGTTTGGTGTGTGCTATCAAAAAAAAAAATCACCGCATCTCAGGGAAGGATGTCTTTCAGTGATGAATCAAGCGATTCCCATGTGCTAGTTTATAAATTGTTAACCGCTTTGGGATTCATAGGGATGAAAGATGCTTTATTTATTGTCCTTTGAGATGAAAGATGCACAATTTATAACATGAGGTTTACTATTTTATTTACTCTTGTGATGCTGAAATCACATTCTTTCCTAGTGATGGAATTGCCAAGTCCCTTTTTAATTTGTGGGCAAGTATCTTAATAAAAGCTTCGGTGTTGGAGGGTCTGGCTACTCAAATATGGGTGTTGTGTGAATGAAACAGTACGATCCTTTTGTTGTTACACAAAGGCTTTATTCTCTTGCTTAGGGGCGTCCTGCAGGCTTATGATGACATAATGATGTAGATTCTATTAAAGTGTCTTAAAACACCACCGCTGTGGGCTCTGCACAGTCTTCTCCTCCAGCGGCCCTAGGGTCTGTGGGTGGCATTATTGTTATGTTTCCAGGTAGTCACGTGTTTCCAGCATCCAAAAATATCAACAACTTGGCACTTAGGAGAGTTTCAGCTTCCTGCTTGATAGAACTTTTAGAATTCTTCACTTTGCTGCTTTGTATAGACAGTGAGCTTTGTTTGCTTGCTTGATTGATTTTAACTAAAAGGGGGTGGATCTCTTCCTGGCAGCAAGGTTTAGGACAGTTCTTTGATTTTTGAAATTTTTGTCCTATGTCATCTCTGCCTTAGATGGACTATGGGAAGCCGTGGATTTGTGTGTGGACTGGGGTTCGAGTTGTTTCCGACCTGATTATTTCACCAGTTCACTCTTCTTTTCCTGGAACTGATGTCCTCTACTCAGCATTATAGGGACACAGCAACATTTGAACTTTTGGATATGAGAGCAACGTCATGATCGCTATTAGCTTCTTTTTTGTTTTCTCTTTTATTTGTTTCTTCTGGGGGAAACGTGCTCGCTTGCCTTTCAGCTGTTGACAAATAGCAATAGCAGGAAAGGAAGAGGGAGCTACAGACAGATGGTCCCAGAGGCGGCAGGGTGGCTGCCCTGCACGAGGTATCTCGCATGAACAGAACCTGGGGGCACAGATGAACCGAAACCAGAATTTTACATCTTAATATGCTCTTACCAATTTGGTTACATGTTTCCATTTTATTAGGATATTCATTTGTTTTCTTATCCAGACTCAGTTTGGAATTTCTAAAAATGTTCTGTTGGGAATATAGAAAGTCTTTCTAGAAACTGTAATTTCCCCGCCCTCCATCCCTAGTGCAGCGAAGTGTGACTTTTTTTTTTTTTAATCTTCCTACTTGACAGGAGAAGCAAGTGAAGGGACGCTAAGACATAACTAATAACTGTCTTTGTATGTATGGAGAACCCTGGCGTAAGATAAGGAGGGCTAGCAATTATGTCTTCTTTGAGGGCAGAAATGGACTTCAACCAAACTGAAGGATTAGAGTTAGGCTTAGGAACGCCCTTTCTATCCGAGCCAGCCCACTCCGGACGCTGGGCTTTGTGGGACATGGTTTTGTGGATGCCCCTTGCTCTTGTTGCCGGCACTGCTCAGGTTATAATTGTTTCAGCAAAGGGCAGACAACCCACCTATTTGGAATGACTTAAAGATACAGGATTTGGGGTGTTCAGACATGTTATTTTGCGGATCAGAAACTAAGTCTGATTTTCCCTCCAGTCGGTTGTCTGATACCCAGACAAGAACCCCAGGTCTTAAGCCCCAGCACCGAGGTGTTTCCGGTTCAGCAGACTCTGGGGTGGTTCTCAGAAGCAGCAGATCAAGCTAAAGCTTCTGG